ATAAGATCAAAAACGAGGAAACGTACCTAGTGGGGAGGCAGGCCTTCAAATGAGCCCTTAAAGGCAAGCCTCAGGATAAAATAGCTGTGGAAGAGTGTTTCCCGATTACACCGCGAATAAGGAACTCTCTAATTCAACTGCGTTCTACCTTGGGATAGAGAATTGGTGTGTTGGTCTAGTTTTACGAGCTTAGTTCTATTGAACCGCAATAGAACCGCTGCCGCAACTGCGCCCGCGCTTTTCAAGTAGCGGGACGCGTAAACTGATAGCGGAAGGCGGGGGTGAATGAGGAGTGCACTGCGGGTGTCCCCCAAGAGGCCCATCGCGCGGCGAAGGAAGAGACGCAGATGCGGCAAAGGGACGAGTCGCAGCGCGTGCTGTGCGATATGAGACGTAGTATGGTACACTCTATTTAACCTGACGCCTAACCGCTACAGTATGCGCTGCGACTCGTCCTTTGCCGCGTCTGCGTCTCTTCCTTCGCCGCGCGACGGGCCTCTTGGGGGACACCCACTGGATTGCGGGTCGAGCGAGTTTCGAGCGCCTTTGTCGCGCACTTCCAAGCTGCAAATGGAGCGCGACATTAACGCTAGTCCCTGCCTACTACGCTCTGTTATGGAGCAGGTGAGCGCGCCCAATCCCGGTATTTAGGAGTGTGCATCAACTCGCATCGAAGTATATGCCCCCCTCGTCTGGCAAGGCCCTCCACGCGGTTGTACCGGTGCGGTACGGGCCCTCTCGCTGCTAGACACTGTAACCATTCAGGAGAGAGTTCGTTAGCTTTGAAGAGGGCTGCACTGATGAGAGTCGCATAAATGCGGAGATCAGGAGGGAGGAGTCTCATTTTCGGGGATCTGAGCTGTTTCTCATGGTTTTTTTCTTCATCCCTGCAACACTTACCACCTCTGCCCTTATTTCCAATAAGCTGTCGTTTCACTGCAAAATGCGCTTCTCAGCTTTACGAGCTGTAATTCTGTCGATTGAAGTTTTTGACTCAGACCATGATATAGCATTATCTGTTAGAGTGGTTCCACTACGCTGTGGGTCAATTGATAGGTTTGGATCTGACTTGCGAACTGCAGCGACTCGATGACATAAGTAGGGGTCGCGAGCGCTTCATACTCGTACTTCGTACTTATTAGGCTGGGTCATGGGGGTCAGTAACATCAGTGGTATCGTGGTGCAGATAGGAGTAAGAGGGTGTAGCGCAGCAGAAAATGAAAATATGTGAAAAAAAACATGATATTAAATTTTCTTTGCAGGTTCAGTCGCTCCATTCCTCCACCTTCATGAGAAGGCGTATTTGAAAGCAGTACAAAGAATGAAAGTGCATCTCCGCAAGGAACGGGGCCACATGTGCACACGCTGCAAAGGCACCTCCTCTATCTACCGCCCGCTCCTCCCTTAACCCATAACAGACGGGCAGTGTATTAGTTGCGCCACATGGTTAAGACGGGGCTAAAGTAGGTGTCCTTGTCTCATCATCCAAAAGAAGAGATTTCCGTTGACGACTTCGTAACCCGCCTTTCCGCTCTAAAACTAGGGTGCAAAAATGAATGGAAGCTGTAGGTGACATTATCGAAAAATGCGAAACAACAACCCCGAGCAAGGATGTGGCTATATTTAGGGGAAGGGGTCTCGGGACGGGCGAAGTGAACCATGGGTAAGCCATCCATCAAATATTAAAGTTAGTTATGGGTTAATACCTCGTTGAGAACGTCACTTATTAGGGACGCTGTGGCAAGAAGACAACGATGAAGGAAAGAACGTGGGCAGATGAAGCTGTTCCCTAGGTCATGGGAGCTTACGAAGGTTTACCTAATGCAGTCTGTCAATTTGCATGATTATATAAACAGGCGTGCGAGTGTCAACTTCCGCCAACTTCGAGTGATTCGGATGCATGGCCTGGATGCCCAGACGGAATCGAATGATGACGATTGCCCGTTTTCTCATAGGTTGAAAGAATGTTCTAGACACATTTCAAGCGTTGCCAACGAATTACACTGGTCATGTGGAGAAAGAGCGGCTTTTTAAGTGGCCGAGAATGATCCTCGACAGATCCTCAACGTGTAATATTCACTCAAACTAATGGAGAATGTAGAACAGGAAGCTAAACATATTGACAGAAAGCGCAAATTCTTCCGCTTTCCAAAGCTGTTTTCCGGTTTTTCGAGATCTTGCAAAATTAGAAAGATGTTGCCTTTCAAGTGGCAAAAACTCGCATGGAAATTCCAGCATCCTCGACGCTCCCTCGACAAAAGTTGAAGGACCCTATCTCTACAAGTGAAAGGCTTTGAGCAATTTCAATGCTGCCTGATTGTACCAAATTTAGATCTATATAACCATACCGCGCGCTGTCCGAAAGGTTGGAATTGAAGAAAGGAACCTCTCATCGAGGTGATAGATTTTTCAAGTTTTATCTTCCGGATTTCCAAGCAAAGCGGACCAGGAACACAATCGCGCAGCGCATCTGTGATGGAATCAGCCGGCTGACCGTACCACTTGGCGTTGTGATTTTGCGTATGCTTTGTTTTGAGGGCCTAGACCTCGATTTCAGGTCGTACTTCCGCGACCACGTCCTCGACACGATTTTCACCCTACTGGTGACACTGCTGCGGCCAGTAACTCGGAGGATTCTTCTGCAAGGGTACCTTAGTAGAATTACAGGCGCAGCCGAGAGAATGAGTCGGCGGTGCGTTTTTTTTCCAAACGGAGCCGTATCAGAATATCTCGCTCCACGTTCTTGATAAATAGCCTTGTTCTGAAGTTTAACAGTAAGGATTTACATGGGCATGTATGCTATACGAAGTTATTACGGCAATATTTCAGTAGCAACCTACGTTCCCCTTCCATTTTCCTTCTTTTATGATAACTTGCGTAAGATTATGCATGAATTTCTGATCGTCTCCAAAAATCATAAAATGCGAAATTCCCTGGAAATAGTAAAATGCCAATGAGGAGGAATTATTTTTGAAATGAATGGGAATGGCTGACTAGTTTCTTAGCGATGCTGTTTGCTGCTCGAACCGTCTGACTTACGTCTGTAGAAATATTCCTCTCAATGAAATCTGTCCTCCGAACATGTATGCACATCCAGCTATTGCGCTCGCTAAAATCGGAAAGAATCAGTGTTACATATTCAGCATGTTGTTGTGAAGAGGCATCACGTGAAGGAGAAATTCCGCTGAAGTACATTTTCAGAGAGTCAATCAGGTGATCTCCTTTCACACGAATGCTGGGCGAGAAACTTAGGATGTAGCGAACGTCGTCAATGTAGTCAGCGAAGTAGCTAGGATTTTGGCCGAACATGAAGTCTAGAAGTAGGTACTTTTCCGTGTGGTTTAGAAGCCTGGAATGTTGACAATATAGGTAATGTAGAATACATAGAGCTATTCAAGAAAATATATTTGAAAGTGTGAAGCTGAAAGTGTTGAAGCAGAACCTAAAGCACGTTGCGTTTTTTTTTCTGATTACTCAAAAAGGGAAATAAAGATGCGAAAGGACCGTCCATGAGAAAAAGTGGTAAATAATGACGGAAATGCTGAGAGTGCACATTGCCGTGCCAAGGCGTTGATACGAGAGACTAGCCGCAGAGGTGAGAATGCCTACAAGGGAAGCTCTTCACCATGACTATTCGGGATGAAGATGAGGTGTATGTTCCCATACGCTCCCTTGAATACTTATTTCAAAACTGTTTTCCAAATTTGCTAAACTATTCTCTGTATAAAGTTATGGAGCCGAAGAACGCAGCGGTAACAGAGCGATCCCTTGCCAATGATGGTGAGGTCGGTTCCTTTGCAGATTTACTCCTTTGCTTGTTTATAGTCACCCATTCGCTTGTTTATAGTCACCCATACGGTTTACGACAAATCCTGGGCTTTATTTGCGCATGTTTGCGCATGACTATGAGCAACCATTGACAAATGATGCCCAGAATATCGTTAACTCATTATATGGGTAAGCATAGACAAGGAAATGAAAAAACGAGCTAAAAACCTTTTTTCAGAATTCTTCACAATGAAGCCGAAGAAGTGAACTCCCGAAAGATTCAATCCCATGATCTCTTGCATTAGAATCTGGACCTACTACCGCTGCGTTCTTTCGCGTTCGGAAAATCGTTTAGTAGGTTGGACAGCAGATTTGAGATCAGCGTTTTGAGATGCACGTAGGAGTGTAACTCTTAAAAAAGTGATCGTGGTGACGTGAACACCCCTTTCTTGTAAGCAGGGGTGAGAGAGGAGGCCCAGGATGTCGCATTGTGAGCAGCTAATTAGGCCCTCTGACATCCAACACGACCTTGAATAATGACGCCAGTGGTAAAAAAAACCGCGCATCGGTGCAAGTCTAGTCGAATGTCATGTACTCGTAAGATTCCAAGATAGCTGGCGTCTCGCTCCCCCCCCCCATACTGGCCCGCAATCAGTTTGATCGTCGTCTTACGAGCATCACATTCTCGTTCTCATTTTCCGTCGCACATCTTCGCTTCAAGCGCTTATTAGGTCATCATTCATATAAATTAGTACTTTAAAATTGCTCCTTCCCGAAGTCTCATGTTGATCTAAATGTCTAAGTAAGCAATGTGAAACTTCATTTATTTAAAAGTCGCAAAAATGTGTGAGCGCAAAAGCTTAACTTAACAAAGTTTAGGTCTTTTTGGCAAGTATTCTGGCGCTTAGCGCCTTTGTCACTGAAATTTAAGGAGTAAGTGGAAACCTTTGAGTCTGTTAAAATATCAAACTATATTAACTAACTCACCTGCTGGCCACTCTCGAAAGTGTAGCACTCACCATCCTTGTTGATCTAGTGAGCAGGAATCTTATCTCCTTATCTCACCACTTAGAATAGGCGTGAACGAAATACCATGTCATTCCACAGTGATGATAACTGCAGTCATGCGATGAGCTGAAGAGAGTCATGTAACGCGTTCCTGCTATCTATTTCCAGGGCTAGTCTTCTTCATATCTCCCAGCCTCTCTGATATTTTGCGTTCCACTGTGTCATTTTCGAATGGAACGGTGTAGGACTTGACGTGAGGGTGGGGAAACCCCGTGAACACGTTTCTGGGTCATATGCACTGGAATTTGCTTTGAATATGAATACTTGATATGAGAGCGGGATTTGTAGAGCCCTTCGATGTTCATCCAGTCGTTTGTGGAGAGGCCTTCTTGTTTCTCCCACATATTTCGGCCTGCATTCTTGGCATTCTGTTGCATAATCTGTTCCCCTCAGTTGACATATTTTGTCTTTTTACAGTAAATAATAATAGAGGAGCTTACACTTGGCTAACCAGAAACAATTTTGGTTGGTTAGTGTTTGGTTAGAGAAACAGGATCTCTGAGAGTTACTCATGGCACCTATAGAATGCAATATTTCCGCGAGCTTTGATGGGCGAGAACTATCCCATGGGGCCAGAACTGCACTCTTTTTGGCAACAGTATACTTGAGTCGTTTAGAGCGTAATGTCTGACAGTTGGATAGAATTGTACTAGCGGTATGCGATTGTCATCATTGACTGTTCCACAAGTGACACCTTGAAAGATTTTGCATAACCAATCTTACATTTTAAATGTTGTCGCCCCATCAATATTGGTAAGGTCGGCAACAGAGGAGTTCGTCAGTACCATACATGTGAGGGGCGCTTGCATGTATTTAGCGGTTTTTCAATCTGAATGCGATCTCCGATTGTGCGAGAAGCGCAAAGCTTACCCTATTAAGCGCCCTTATGAAAAGGTTAGCTATAACTGTGGTTCGGTCAGGGCAAGTTCAGCTTTCTATGTGGTGTTTCTTATTCTTTTCGTTTCTGAATCTAATTTCTGCACCATTCGTTCCCGAGCCCCGAAGCTTGGCGCCTGGCTTGATCTTCGTTTTAGATAGTCTGAAGCATCACGTCCTTGATTTGTGAGCTATTTCCTTCCTTGAATCGTCTTTCTTACCCTCAACACACTCGTGCGCGAGTGTGCTACCTTCATCCCTGGTGCCTAAGGAGTGTCGTGCATGAAAATTAAGGAAATATTTGTTTTGTTTGATTTCTGAAGTGTTAAAAAACTTGACAATGAAAAAGTGGTGCGAATTCCCTAAGGGTTCTAGAATGTACGTCTCTTTCACTATTGGCGTGGGCGAGTGTTTTCTCATTGAAGTAACTTATGCTGACAATTGTGAGTCACCACTTTTTCACATTAATTAATCGAATAAGTGAATGAATTAAGGGTGTCTCACCTGCGAGGATCGTCGTAGTGACAACATGAACCAGCAAATGGGTACACTGTTTTCATTGGTCCCCATTGAAAAGAATGAATAGATTTGCTGTATATAAAGCAGCAAATAGTTGTAGAAAATCTCGTGAAATAATGGTTGAATTGTGACAAACATAAACTTGCGAGTAGCTCCTTACAAAAGGTAAGGTGTAGGGTACCATGCTACTATGAAAATTTTTTTGACCTTATCTTTAAACATTTTTTCCTCCTTTCTTCCAGTTTCCTATCTGTTTCTTGTCCTTTTCGTTCCTGATATCTAACTTTCTGTAACACTGTCCCCGATACAGAAGCTGCGCCTGGCTTAGGTCTCAGTTTTAGAGAGTCTGAAGACATTACGTAGCCGAATTTGTGAGCAATGCTTTCCTGAATTGTCTATCTGTATTCAAACACA